ACACAATGTCCGTACATTAAATGCTCCAACATGTAGTCTAGAACGAGGTTTCAAGAGACCAGGAATGACGTTTCGTGAACTCGCTTCGTCTGCATTAGCGGTGCAGTGAGAAAAAGGACTGTGAGTAGAGTTAGTTGTGGAGAGAAGAGAGGTATGTGTGGGTGTAGGAAGGATTTGATTTCGACCAATTTGGTTTCGTGTGCTGTTACGGGTATGAGGGCGATTGTCACTTCCTGGCTGCCCACACTGTGGAAGGTTGTTTCTTGAGGGACCTGAAAAGGACGATAGGTTAGTGTTGGTCTTTGAGATCTGGGTGCGTGACCGCAGAGCTCAAGGGAAAACTGATTGAGGCCGGCCACGCACGGCGTTTTTGTTAAAGGTTTTTTTTAGTATTAGCTCCGTTCTTAAAAGCCCTTAGTTGGCACCCTTACCCAAGGAGACGGAAATCCGTGAGGTAGAGAGAGGTGTGACATTTTTAGGGTCAACCTTTTCTAACCCTTCCTTCCTTGTGAGAAGGCAGCATCGCTGCAGATGTGGATTGTCCGAGGGAAACACGTTACTGCTGTTACACCCCTCTGCAGTCAGCAGTACGACTTCGCCCTCAGACCCTGGGTAGCTGCTTTTAGTCTCATCATTCTCCAGTCGACCTGCCTGGCATGGTAGAACCTTCAGGAACATATGTTCCAGCCAATATAGCTCGGTTGGGTCATTACGATAGGCAAGCCCGACCACCACGTCAAGGTATCAGCTACGGTCGGGTATATGAGTGGTAGTAGAGAATATTAGGTATAGATCCAATTCAATAAGGAAATATGCTTTTGTATGGTTATTAATATACAAGGGGAGACAAAGACTGAACTTCACTTAAGTCTCAAAATATTGGTTACAATACTAGCGCGAACCGCAACTAGATGGTCCATACAGCTCAGTCCAACAGGTAGTAACTTAATGGACTGATGCCATGTTTCGGTCTAGTCGTCCCTAGCGATTTTCTATATAACTCTTACACCATCAATGTGGGTTGGGGTGGAAAGTGATAGAACATATACATTTCATGTCCCAAATATTTCAGCTAGTGATTTTCGATTGCAATATCTCCTCTTTATCACAAATAATGGACGTTGGTAAGTCACCCAACGACCCTACAGGTGTTAGTTTAATCAGTTTCTTTAGATAAACCACATAGTCGGAAAATCTTACTAAGGACTACAGCTCCAAATTATCATATAGGTCTATCTGCGAAAGTTAACGGATTGCATTTGTATAGGATCAAGTAAAGATAAGATATAGAAATTCGTTGGAGATTACTAATCAAAGGTTCAAATGAAATAACAGTAATTTCAGAAAATTTGAGATTCGTTTATAGCAACACATCCAACGTAATTAAACAATACGATTGTATTTAAAACTTATCAAAGCTGACTAAAAAGTACGAACGATAGAAATTACTCATGAACTGCGCAAATGTACAATTTTATCTAGATTACGACAATAGTAAAATGTACAAATCTGCTTAGGAAGAATGCAATCGCTATCATACAAAATAATGAGATTTAGTGTCTTGTTTGTATCAGATAGGTCAAAACAAGAAACCCTGACGATGTCATTACTAGAAGTTGTATTACAACACTCGGTGATTAATTTATTAACAGACCATGCACTGACAGTTAAATTTCTTTGTTCAGCATATGGTGTAACAAATTTTAGCAAAGACTGACTGTACGGTCTGTTTTGTGGAGTAATTAAGCTCCACACTAATTCTGATCCATATAAATCTTGCTGATCTATTTGAATGGGAATCAATCGTAGAACGGATCCACGAGGTTTACCATCCAATGACACCACACCCATAATAAAATAATATGTACATGAATTTAATAAAATGCTTTTTACAACAATGGAAAACACCATAAAATCAGGTCGTTTACTTGACACCACCACTAAAGGTTTAGAACATGGTTTTACTGGAGCATTTAAGTACATATTCTGTGCCAATTTACTGAACGTAAACGGTTCTGATACGTACTCATTTGCACTATGTTTATTGGTCTCATCTGTGCGCATTAGACAACCAACAAGTTCTATTGATGAGGGATTGAAATGAATGCCTAGAATATAATCAGACTCAGGTAATGATGACGGTTTTCCTGAACAATGACTTAACGCAGCGAACCAAGAGTTAAATTTTGGCTCATACACATCCATCAAATCGTAACGACACAACAAAGAGACTAAGCATAGGTTCCCATCACACGATAACTGATGAATTGTGTATGAAAGCATATCAGGAACATATAACACAAACATTAGATCACGTTTTCTATTGACATAAAAGTCGTAAACTATTTCCGTAGAGCATATACAATGTTTATTGGAATCCGTATTTATTACTGGGACTGTTTGCACATCCGTAAGGTACAGCTGATTCAAATGATGATCGACTGCAAAGCTGAAATCGTTTGGGATGGAAAACATGAACAATGATAACAATATAACTGTTAAATTTCTTGATGAGTGTTTCTGAGCTAATAAGACACCTATATGGATCTTTCCGTTACCGGAGCTTCCTGGGGGCATAATCATTTCCAACAGTGCTACTTCGGAGATTACCAGCTTTTTTCTCCACAATAACTGTGATTCGAAGTTAGAGAGAGATATAGTATACAAATTGAGCATATGGTTAGAGTCGTACAAAGTAATTAACAGGGAATCTGACAAAAGAACACAGGATCCTAAAACACATGAGGATATATGTCTGCAGCATTCTTCGTCAATGGGTTGAATAAGTACACCTTGTACTGGTGATTCATCTGGCGAGAATAGTTTTACATTAGTGATGTCTACGGTGAAGTTAAATATTTTGCCACATCTTTGCTTACCAGGACATTCGGAAATTATTTCAGATGTTTCTTCGGTTACAGGCAACAAAGTGCTTGATCGGGTGATTAGAGTAGGCTTTAATTTTTTTTCAGCTTTCTAAAAATGTGACCAATCAAAGGTTCATGAATACCTGAAGGAGCAAACGTTTCTTTTCAAGCTCTTGCTGCAAAACATGAACACGTTCTTTGAGGTTTTCATATCGATTCATCAAATGAGTCAATGAATAAGTCAAATGCAGTCTATACTTCTACGTATACAATCTGAAGTGTGGAAAATATACTTATTCTGAGTAACCTGAAAATAAAGGAAAATCGTGATGTATTTTAGCTTTACCGAGCAGACAGTATATGTCTCAGCTTCTGCTTAGTTAAATTCGAGACAGCATTAATGAAAATCTCCAAACTAATCCAACACAACGGAGAATATACTCAGATCTACCTATACATATCGTGTAGAGCTTTGGTTGATCACAAAATACTGCACTGATCTAAGCAGACGGAACGTACTTAGCACTATAACCAGGCACTAAACTGTAGAAGAATCATGCAGAGAATTTATCATGGTGAGAGTGGATACTTATAACTCGGAGGGAGACTTTTCGACATCTAGTTTTGAGACAATTACTATATTAGATTATTCAACAATTATTGAAGAAAGATATGCGTTGATTTAGAAGCCAATTAATTATTAGATAATGTGGATTCGACCAAGGTGCCTAAACATATAACTAACAGTCAATAATTGTAGATCGATGCGCCTTCGGTTTGCCCGCAACTTTAAGACAGGACGGTATAAAGGTGAGATAAAACAATCAGATGAGTTTCCAGCCACTTTCTAATTAACTAGAAAACTATTTTTATCAAAGGTTGTTGTCATTTTTAACTTTGTGCGTAATTACGGTAGAAACAATAGCACTGCATCGTAAAACATGTAAGCTATGATAACTAGAATTTAATAGCGGCTTCTATGGGTTAATCTGTTTTTAAATTGGAGAGTAGTGAAATAAATTCATTCTAATTTTAGGGTGTATGTAAATGTACATATACATATATGTCCTTATGGGGACCTAAGAAATTAGACGAAAACGCTATTTTACCTAATAAGGATGATCTTTTTGGGGTGAATGACTTGGTTAACAGGAAAAGGGAAAATTGCACTACCGCTCACATTCAAAATGCATAGCTCTAACATTCAAACGACCTTGGACGAGTTCGTTCAAAACGGTTCATACGGCTGCGGACGGAACAGTTTTATCTTAAGCGACTTCCTTATTTAACAGCACTGGATCTTTCATGGCTTCAGGTAAGAACCTCAGTATATATAACGAGAAATACTAATACATCCTAATTAAACCCTGTCTTGAGTCCTTAAGAATGTCACTTTTCCTCCAAAAGGATTCCGAGGAAGCCATTTGGACCACCTCAATCAAAAGCCGATTCCGGAATCTGACTGCCCATTAGCAGTGAAATGTACGTCTATAATTCATTCTGTTATGCTGCCCTTCTAATTCCTAGGGTATTGCACCTAAGATTTTCGTTGAAGCTGAGCTTAAGTAAGTATTTTAGGTGGTTTCTGTGAGTACTTAGGGTGCTATGGGTCAGTAGAAAGTTACCTCCGATATGCCCATAGAAATGATCTGACGTTGTGAGGTGTTCTTCATAAGGTTCGTATTTTAATCCTTGAAATGATTTCGTGGCTCACCTATAGATCCAATGTACAGTGTGCGTATCCCTTCGAAGTTAGATCGGAAGTACCATGTTTTCGTGCTTTAAATGAGGTCTAACAAGGCTGCTAGAAATCATTTGGATAGTTTTACTGTTAAACAGGACAAAAATGCTCATGCTCTTCAATGTTATGAGTGCAAGGTTTCCTGATAAGACATTTTTGTCACGGTTGGTCTAAGAATTCGATAACCATAATATTTATTCTCAAGTACCATCGTGTTACGTGAGGCATGCTATTTTGAAAGAAAACAGGGATTGTTGCCAACGCTATCACACTTACTGCAGTAGTTTTCGCAGTTAGGTTAATGAGTATAATATTAACATTTTTTATCACTTCGAAAGTAGACGCCAATTTTACAGACATGATCAGTTTATTACAACAGTGTTTCCAACAGTGGTTACAAATAGGACAGGCTCCGGCAGAATTCTTAGGTGGCAAGAAAAGTTCAGGAGTGATTCACGAGATTGTGTTCGAGAAGATTCACCTGCAGTCCATTTGTATGATGGAACATGTTGGTAAGTCCATATCTGTTAGAAAGTGTAGAATGAAACGTGTTTGGTACAAGCTCTGACCTTGACGAGCACGTACATAAGGTGTGTTTGGCGTAGGAAGAGGCTCTATGATAGTCCACTTTTGACAAGGTCCTGAAAGAAACAAATAAGAAGGAAAATACGGTGGCAATGTAGTTGGATATATGTCCAGAACATTGTTTAACCATTCGTAGTGGAGCGGAAAAGATAAGAGGGATTAAAGAAAGATGGGACTAGATTGTATCATGGTGAATGATATTTATGAAAACCATTGATAAATATAATGGTCCTTGTCTGTCATTTTTTCATCGAATACTAACCTCTAGCTCATACTGTAAGTGCCTGAATATGCATGTTGCAAGTTATTTTGGCAGGATAACCATACCACCAAAAAAATTGGAAGCGTTCGGTCTAAAGAGTGGCAAATTTATGAGAGCAACATCGGTATCACTGATTAGTCACCTTATTAATCGAAAAATCTCGAAGCAAATAAAATTTCCTTTACCATAAACATGGGTTGAACTCTAGAGAAGATTTACCTCACTTGTATGCGAACTCCCCAATTCCTATCAAAGGAATTCCTATACACTTTTAAGTATTGTTAGCAACTCCTTTAATAACCAGCCAACTTTTAGGGTCAAGTTTGATCCTCCCGAAGTTCAGACGTATCATTTCGTCTTCAAACTTGAATCTAGAGTAGCTTAAACGATACTCAATCAGAAAATTCAATAACATGAATTGACAAGAGAGGAGATCCCAGTACAAACTCCTGAGGATCCCACCACCATTTAATGAAGCCTAAGAAAAAGTAGTATTTAGAAAGGCAATTATTTGGATGTGAACAAAACCAGTCTATTAATGGTTACTTATTGCCGATGAATACAGGGTTTTTGATGATACATTGATGAATAACCTTACCGAAAGCTCTTGAGATTCCTAGGTATATCACATTTACTTTCTCGAAATCTAGGATTTTCCATCTCAACTCAAGAGTACCTCTTCATGAGGGTAAAGAAAAAATTACTACTGGTCGGTAGGTTGTTCGAGTTCACCTCATTCAAGAATAAGTGTGCCAGTTTTCACTTTTCCAGAACCATGAGACTGTAATAACATCATGAGTCTTCTTTACAGTCGCAGTCCAATTTTACCTGAATACAGGTTCTCTGTGACGATTGACCTCAGCAGAACTACTGTTTCAATTAGTTAGGACATTAGGATCTTTATTCCGGGATATTTCGAATTTGGATTGTTGAACAAAGGCTAGATTACGAAATAAGTTACTTGGATGGAGGACCGGTTTGTCAAATAGCTACATATGAAGCTCTAATTCTCGTATAACTTGGTGTATTTTATCGTTGCCTTGTATCATTAGGTCAGTAGTCCGTCTACATCTTGTCAAGTACTACTTTATTTACCTCAGCATCTGAAGGGTGAGACTTCTCATGACTGGAGAACTTAGGAAATGTTTGTGAAAGAGATTGGTTTGAAGTATGCGGGATCAACGGCAAAGAGAAATACCAACGAACGTTTTGGTCAAGCTTTTCCGTCTATCTGCAGTAGATTATCTCTTAAAGATAACCCACCATACCTTTTTAAATTCTAACATCTGCTGCTAGTTAGGAGTTTCAGTTCAATTTCATCAATAAAACTGAGGGCTATGGCGGCGTGATCACCTTTTACTGAGGGAACTATGACTGAGAGATTGTTAACTACAAGTTACCAGTTTGTAAAGATACACTATGACCGTGATGCTATCTGGATTTTTCTCTATAAAGTTTTTTAATGATCTCAACTCTCTATTGAGTTTGAAAAACTGAGATTCAAAAGAGTTATCATCTCCATTGTACGTTTATTCAGCAAAGGTGACATTGGGGTAACCGGAATCTCTCACGGTTAGGGTATGAGAGTACTCGAAGCGAAAATACCAGTATAATCCTTTGCATACTCGAATGTGTAACTGAATGTCCGAAATAGGCAATCTCACTAAGCACCTCAAAGATTCAAAAAGATTCACAAACCCTTTGATGTATACTTCGTTTATTACCAAACTGGATCGTAGATGGAGATCGGCTCCGTCTTCCATTCCAGATTTTCTACGGCACTACGACAAAGACACTGCAGGCATCGCCACCCTGACTTATGATTTGAGGTGATCATACTTCAACTTTCCTAACCGACTACTCAATCAACACGATTGAACCATCTTACTCCTTGACATCGTATCAACTGAACCTGAGGTGCAAATTTTCCGAAATGAAAAGCATGTTTATCTTCGTCCCGTTTTTTTAAATGAGTTCTAAATGAATAGGCCGGGAACCAATCTATTCAGAATCCTCCTAGTTTGTGAGAACTACACACTCAGTGTTTCTTGCCTGTTCTTGAAAGTCGAAAATCAAAATGCCTATTTTAACTTCTTTGTCATGCTTATTACTTGCGTCATATGGACTTTTTGGGTTCATATGGATCCAAATAGAAAACCAGAGTTCTTAAGGTAGGAAAAACATCAAAAATGGCAGATGACACTCGTGTATATAAACAGTTTGTTTTCAGTAATCACAGTAAAAAACCGTCGGATTTCTGGGCAGTCGCATAGCTTATTGGCATAATATGTTTTAAAGACTCATGGACAATTTTAGTAACTTCTTCTCTTAAGAGTAGAAGATTGCATTATCACGTTTTGTTGATTCTGGAACACTTTACTATGTAGTTTCCTTTCGAGATGTGTTCAATGAGATTGAGCTGTGAACATGATTTATCGGTCAGTTAACTCAACTACCTCTGATTTCAGCAGGTGAATAGACTGTGTACTATTTTCAGCACTATCCGCACTCGTGAATGTTATGCGAAAAATCTTCTGTTACCCTTCCCTCGGATAATGCACGTACCATTTTCGGGTTAGATTTTAGGAAGTGTAGGTTTTCTGCTAAACTTTACAAAATTATTCCGTCACTTTTGTCATGCGAACTGAGAAGCAGGATAGAGAGGTCCCAAAGGTTTATGTTCACTAGGTATTAATCACAAATTACGGTTGGTTTCTTAGTATTCCGGTTACCTTGGGCTTAAAGTACTCATTGTATAACCACACACGAGCAGCAGAATGATGAGATAACCAATCATCAGATATATATTTCAACTCCGCTTGAAGGACCTCTGGGGATACACTCGGCACAATGTCTAGATAAGGGGGTAGGCTTGGGCTTGAGGTGAGTGACCTCATTCCGTAGAAAACTAACTTCCTAAACATACGCTAACCAGAAAACATAACTTCAACCATTGGATTTCTACTCTGGGAGTTAGAAGGTCTTTCAGATGAGTTATGATGTCTCATGATGAAAGCTGAGTTCCTTCGGAAGTCGTGAGGCCGATGCCCCTTCTTGCAACCAGAGCACCCATTGTTTTAGGTACACGTAATGTTCGACCAATATGGGAGACCGGAAGACTGTTCTGAATCTCGGTATAGATGAAAAGATACAACATGGAGGTGCGTGAAATCGGTGCAACGCATCGAACACAGGTTGTGCAACCAAGACTAGCTTCAGGAGAGCTGCTGTTGTACCCCAGCAATGAAGAAGAAGCTGTCTTACATACACAAGGGGTCACTGATAGGATTGGAATCTTATGAACCCACCCAGATACATACCTTAGGCTACATGGATTTCATTGGATCATAGAACTCAGAGCCGAATCGACCATATATGCATCAGTAAGAAGTTCAGAAGGACTGTGAAGGACACGAGAACCAAGAGAGGAGCTGAAACAGCCTCAGATCACCACATGCTGATCGCCAAAATAAAACAGAAATTAGGCGACTCTGGACAACTGGGAGGACAAAGTTAAATACTGCGTTTTTTCGGGATACTGGAAAGCGCAGTAGTTCGAAGCCCTGCACGGCCTACTCAGTGGTGAGGAAATAACCATAG